TGTTTTGCGTCTTTCTCTAGGACGCGGTGTTTACTTATTGAACGAATCAGCTTTTTGAACGAATCGGTTGAATAAATAATTCAGTGATTCACTCAGTAACACAGTCAAATGCTTTGTTCCTGAATGAATCAGTCGTTTGAATGAACCGGTTGAATCTCAATGACTCACTCATTAACAGTCACTGCTGCCACCTACTGGCGGTTTTAATTTGAAATTTCGACTATTTTTTTCATGTTTTAAAGGGGTTATATGATGCAATTTCTATTTTTCCTTTCTCTTTGGAGTGTTACAAGCTCTTGGTGCATAAAGAAGATTTGTAAAGTTGCAAAGACTAAAGTCTCAAATCCAAAGAGATATTCTTTATAAAAGTTAAGAGTCAGCCACACCTACCTAAAATGGCTTCGTTGCACTCAGCGGGTGTTGCATTGCTTCTGTCCAAAAGACGTCAAATAAAAAGCATCTTTCCATTAAAAAAAAAGTGTCTCACACGCTCTGGGGGGTGAACAAAGGCCTCCTGTAGCGAATCGATGCGTTTTTGTAAGAAAAATATCCATATTCAAAACGTAATAATCACTTGAATCTAGCTTGCGCTCACTGTTGTAAAACGGAAGCAGTTCCGGGGGAATGACGTATGAGGTCAGCGCTGCGCATGCGCCGCTCAGAAGTGAAGAACGCTGAAACGCAGCGGAGAGATCAAAACAAAACAACGGTCAAGAATTAGAAATACAAAACGAGGATTTGTAAAGAAGAATGTCAGAGGATTTCGATATAAGCCAAGAGGAGACTGGTTTTCCTTTGCTAAAGTAAGGAAACTTTGCTTCCTTTGCTCCTGTTAACAAACGTTGGTTTTCACGAGAAAACGCTGACCTCATACGTCATGCTCCCGGAACTGCTTCTGTGTACAACTGTTGACGCAAGCTACATTAAAGTGATTATTACGTTTTGAATATGGATATTTTTCTTACAAAAACACATCAATTCACTACAGGAGGCCTTTGTTCACCCCCCGGAGCCGTGTGAGACACTTTTTTTATGGAAAGGTGCTTTTTATTTCACGTCTCTTGGACAGAAGCAATGCAACACCTGCTGAGTGCAACGATAGAGCTTGAAAGATCAAAGACAATTTTTAATATAACTCCGACTGGATTCGTCTGAAAGAAGAAAGTCATATACACCTGCATCGGGGGTGAGTAAAATGCAGCCTAATTTTCATTTTTGGGTGAACTAACCCTTTAAGCTGTGTATGAACATTTTTTATATATATTTATTTGCTGCTTTTCCATTTTGCATTTACTTGTACTTTTACTTTCAATACTTCAAAGTACGTTTAAGATGAAAAAAAATAATTTTCGTACTTAAAGTATGTGATAATTATTGTAGCCTACTTAAGACTTTTACTCGTAAAGTTTACAATATTACTTGAGTAAAAGTCTTAAAGTATGTTTTTACAATGTAAACCGTGACTTCAACTTCTACCAAAGTAATTTTCTGGTAAGCTATTTGTACTTTTACTTGACTATGGCTTTCAGGTACTTTATACACCACTGGTTGTACATTTTAACAACACATCTGTCCATCAAAGCCCATGTGTTTGAGTTTATAGTTCACAGGCACTTTAACGGGGCTTCACTTCCAAGAAAGCCCTTCAAAGCAAACAATCAATCCACACACACATATAATTTAAACAGTTATGGCTGCCAATCAAAGGGAAAATGTACCTTAAGAACGGTATTAATATAGTATTTTTGTATCCATCTATCAGACTCCTGTGATTCATTTAAATAATTCACCCAAAAATGAGATTTCTGGCATCATTCACTCACCTTCATGTTATTTCAAACCCATATGACTGTACAACATTCGCAAATTCTTATATTTTAGCCTTTTCCTCTCAAAAGACTAAGAATAGTCATGTTTACGGAAAGGAATTAGAAAACAGTGTAAACTACGACCAAATGTTTATTTTTGGGTGAACTATCCCTTTAGCTTGTTAGAAAGAGGTTGAAACTAGCGCAGAAACCCTTTCGGTGTCTGACTCCTGCAGCTGCTCTAACAGAGTGAACTCAGTGAGAGGAGCTACTCGAGACCCCGCCCTCTTTGAGGCTCCGCCTCTCACAGCTTGGCTTTGCCCGGCTGCAGCTGCAGGTTTTGAAGCTTCATCGCCATGCCCATGTTTCCGGTGATCTTCAGTTTGCCCTGGAAGAACGCCTGCATGAACGAGAGGACACAAAGAGAGATTAACATTGATTTTTTTTTTTTTTTTAATATTAACCTCCTGAGAGGATAAGCTATTCATCTGTGTCCAAGGAATTCATTTGTGTCCCAGTAGAGGACATTTGTTTTTGTGAATTATTTTTCTGTGGCCTTACAAGCCACACTTCAGTGTCTCAAAAGCAACAGGGCTATTCAGAGATACTAAATGGGGGTTTGGCCATGAAAACATCCTCTGCCTGTGTTTTTTTTTTTTTAACAAATGATCAAAAACAGAGATTTTGTATTTAATTTTTGTGTCTGATTGATATTCAAATGGATTCTTGTAAAAGCCTCTCAAAAACATTATAGTTTATAAAGCAGAATATTATTTTCTTTTTCAATAAATACATTGATTTTGTTTTTCAATGACTTAAATAAAAAAACACTTTGTAGAGGACATCAAGACTAAGCACACAAAAAAATCAAATCAAATGAAATCAAAAATAAACAAATAAATAAAGTGAATGAATGAATGAATAAATAAATGCAATATTAATATTATAATATTAAATATTTACATTCATATAAAAATTAGACAATATGTATTGTTTTGTGTAGTTTGTGTAATAAGTCAGGAATTGAACATTGTACAAAAAATTATTTTGTAATTTCTTTCTTTAAATAGTTTTTAAATGGTTTTAGTTAACATTTATGGCAAAATGCTGAAAAACAGATAAGGATATACAGAAAGAAAGAAAGAAACAAAGAATAAATACATAGGCGCAAAAATAAAAAGAGTAAATAAATAGTAAATAAAGCAAGACTTCATGCAATATTAAATAGTTACATCAATATAAAAATTAGACTATATATGTGTGTGTGTGTGTGTGTGTGTGTGAGTGTGTGGTTACAATTTTTAAACACATCACGTAATCAGTCAAAGTAGATATTGTATAAACATGATTTTGTAATACCTTTCAGAAAATAGTTCAAAACTATGTTCAAAGTTCGGTTTATGTATGTTTATGCTGTGTCCCAGAGGAAAAACAATTCACAAAAAAACTCGAGGTACAACGAAGGTCAACAATTTGATTAACCTTCATTAACTGTCAGTTCTCAAGGTCAGGTGAATCCTCTCACAAACTGCTCTGAAGTCCATTAAAGACGTGCCGTGATATGATTGTGAAAGAGCAACTGCGGTCGTAATGACAGGCTTTAATGAGTCCTTTTTTGAAGGACAGAAATGCTCCTCGCAGAAGGAATGAACCCTGAAGTCATTTCAGAGAGTGACTCATTAAAGCTTTGTTTGTAAGTGCTGCACAACCGTACGCCTCCATCCCTGCTAACAGGAAGCACTCAGGTAGCACTAAAACAGAGTCGCGAGTGAACGCGGTTAATGACTTCTCGTTTCAGTCTGTTCCCAAACATCAGTTACCAGCTGCGTGGAAGCAATTACAGAATATAAAAACGAATTAAGGTCAGATAAAAATAGCCAGATTTCATGCTGATAGACTTTCAACTGCAGCTTCTGAAACTCACTTTTCCCACTTTTTTGATAGGACAAGACATGATTGAGAGAGGTGAGAGGAATGAGCTCAGCACAAATGTTGAGTGAGCCAAACTCACTCAATAGAAGTTGTGATCCACCAATTAGAATGAACCTTGATTTCATTTACATTACAAGAATGAGTACTGAACATTAAAAGGACAGGTCACCTTAAAAACAAAAATTTGCTGAAAATTTTCTCACCCTCATCCATCCAAGATGAGTTTGTTTCTTTATCAGAACAGATTTTGAGAAATGTATCATTCCATCACTTGCTCAGCAATGGATGCTCTGCAGTGAATGTGTGCCGTCAGAATGAGAGTCCAAACAGCTGATAAAAACATCACAATAATCCACACCACTCCAGTCCATCAGTTAATGTCTGGTGAAGTGAAAAGCTGCGTGTTTGTAATGAACAAATCCATCATTAAGACGTTTTAACTTTAAGCCATTGCTTCTGGCCAAAATATGAGTTCATAATAATAATAACGCTTCCTCAAGTGAAAAAGTCCATCTCCTGTTGTACTCTCACATCAAAATCCACCCAAATATTTGTTTAGGGCTATTTTGTCTTGTAAACGGTGTTTGATCAGTGCATATATTTCTCTCCTGATTCAGACGGGACAACTTTTTCACTGCAGAAAGTAATGTTATGGATCATGGGCTCGTATTTTAGCCGGAAGCGACGGTTTAAAGTTAAAAGCATCTAAATGATGAATTGGTTTATTTCAAACACACAGGTTTTCACTTAATAGATGTTAACTGATGGACTGGAGTGGTGTGGATTACTTGTGGATTATTGTGATGTTTTTATCAGAGAAGAAACAAACTCATCTACATCTTGGATGGCCTGAGGGTTAGGACATTTTCAATGTTTGGGTAATCTATTCCTTTAAAGGGGTCATATGATGCTGCTAAACACCCCAAAGAGAAAGAAAAAATTGAAATCGCATCATATGACCCCTTTAAGAGAGAGGTAGGAATTTGTATCATAGTGGCTTTGTGGTGGCATAATATCACAATTTAACACTAGATCTAATAACTAATAAATAATAATGGATGCAAATGTGGCTATAGGTGGTTAAACAGATGCTAGGAAGAAAAACAAGTAGAATCTAAGAAATCCTTGATTGAAAAAAAAAAAGGCCGATCACTTTTCAGCAAGCAAACCAATCACAATTCATTATACATTACTATGATGTCATTGCTGTATGTTAGACTCGAATACTGAACATTCTATTAATGGAATTCTGAGGGAAACGTCAAATTTAAATGAAAAACTGAAAAAGGCTGAGATTTAAATTTGAAAATAATAGCACTTTAAAGTTCTTTCGTTTTCTAATTGTTGATAAACCTGTATTTCCCGATAATAAAATATTTTTCCTTACAATAACCTGTAACAGGATGAATGGCTTAAAATAGTTTAAAAATCTGAAATGAAACAAAAAACATATTTAAAAAAAATAAATAAAATCCAAACATTCAGAACACATTTAAAATGTCTCCTGCTAAAAAAGTGTTTTTTTGTTGTTTTTTTGGGACCAGTTCAGGTTGAGAATGGCCAGGTTAAATGCTCTCACTGGAGCCTGTTGATCAGTCATGGGTCAAAAACGTCTTTCGTTCCATCTGTGGCTTTTCCGTGAAGGGTGAAGCGTGGAAACTTGAAGGAATGGAAACTCTCTGTGATTCAGACGGGAGGCCGCACAATAATCTCTCTTTCTCAATGCGGGCCATTAGCATTAGAAAAGGAAAGTGAGTGGGGAGGGAGTGTTTTTGAGCGTCTGTGGAGAAACTGTTCGTGGAAAACAGGAGGTGGGTTTGAGACAATGTACAAAAGGAGGATGGGAGCTACACGAACTGTGCTTTAAGGGCCCAACCTTGACATTCCTCAAAAGAGAGACCTTGAAATAGAAAATGTCTTTACATTTCCTTTATTCAATTGTGAATCACAGATTGATATAAAAAGGCACTCTCGTAGCAAAGACAATACCACTTTGAATTCACTGTCACATACACAGATACAGATCTTAATGCCTCAAAACAACTACGTAGGAGAGTGTAAAGGAAAGAAAAACATCTGGGTTCATGTGGGATGAGTCTCTGTGGTTCATCCAAACAGGAAAACTGAGACTAATCAGCCAAAAACATAATTATAACCATACAAACCACTTGGAAATGTCAGGGATCTGCTTTTGCAGCCATTCTAGGGTTCCCACTTTTTTCAAGATATTATTTTCCAGGATATGATATGCAACCTATGTTTAAAAGTCAGCATGACATGACATTTGCAACCTTTTTAATTGTTGGCACACACTGCAGTTCAAAAGTTTGGGGTTGGTAAGATTACAGAAAAAATCTAGTAAAAACAGTAATATTGTGAAATATTTACAGAACTGTTTTCTGTTTGAATATATTTTAAAATATCAAGTATTGCGGTGATCAAAGCTGTATTTTCAGCATCATTACTCCAGTCTTCAGTGTCACATGATCCTCAGAAATCATTCTAATATGCTGATTTACTGCTCAAGAAACATTTCTGATTATTCTTATGTTTAATATTTTTGTGGAAACTGTGATACTTTATTTTTGCCGGACTTTCTGATGAATAAAAAAGTTGGAGAGAACAGCATTTGTTTGACATAGAAATGTTCTTCAAAAATTTTACTTTGATCAATTTAATGCATGCTTGCTGAATAAAAGTATTAATTTATAAAAAAAAATAAAAAATACACTTACTGACTCCAAAGTTTTGCATGCTAGTGTACTTTCAAATGAAACATTCATTGAGTAAAAAATTACTTTTAAAAATCATTAAATCACTCCAAAAATATCTAAACATTCCTAAAACTGCACAAGATATTAAAAGTAGTTTTCAGAGCATATTTCTTGAATTAAGAACATTTTACTTGATCCACTAGCAAATAGTTTTCTTTTCTTGTTTAAAAATAGTTTGTTTTATTGATGTTTTTGTATTTTTAATGGGGTAAAAAGACAAAAAGTCTGATCACTTTCATTTTTTGCAGTTTAGCTTGTAACTGAAAAGTAGTATAGAAGATTAGCAGTATAGATCATTTGATTTGACGGACGGACGGATGGAGGATGTTTTGGTGATTTGTCTGTCTGCTTCATCAGGACTTACGGTCTGTGGATTCATCTTTCCAGTCATGAGGTCCAGCAGGTCCGAGTCGGCCATGGCTATGGTGCAGTCTGCTTTCTCGTCTAAGAAAAAGAAAGGCAGAACATTATTAAAGGGGTGGTTCACTGGTTTTTTTCTAGGCTTGATTGTGTTTATGGGGTGCAAGTCTAACATGTGTTAATGCTTCGTTTTTTTAAAAACGCATTATTTTTCACATAATTTACCTTTATTCCACACCGCTCTGTCTCTTCTCTGAAAAACGCACTGATCATTTCCTTCTTTTATGAAGCCCCTCCCTCGGAAATAGGAGATGGGCTCTGATTGGTTAGCTAGCCCAGTGTGTTGTGATTGGCTAAACCGCCTCTAGTGCGTGTTTAAACGTCCCGCCCCTCACCTCAGCGGCATGTGCTCCGGTTGTATTGTAAACAACGGCGTCGTTAATATCGCAGAAGATATTATTGAAGAGGATCGTGTAGAACCTGTGCAAGCACGGCATTGAGACGCAGAGGATATTATTGAAGAGGATCGTGCAGAACCTGTGCAAGCACGGCTTTTAATGGTAGGCCTATGTTTTTGTTGTTGTCTCATACTTTTAGATATGCTGTTATTTGTAAATGCTACTGCTTATGTTAGCTTTTAATATACATTTTTATCCTGATTAAAGCTTTAATACAGTACAGCAACAGCATGCGCGTCCATGTTTAATGCTTGCTTCTCATAGCTATGTGAATAAGTGTATAATTGGAACAGTTCATTGTTGGAGCTGAGCTGAATGAGCGAGAGAGAGATGCAGAGCAGCGGACGCGAGGAACAGTATTAAGAACCGCTGCTTTAGAACATTGATTTTGAAATAGGTGAATCCATTAGAATCGTTAGAAGACAGAATCGCGATTAATATATGTATAGATTTTTACGTGCACCCCTATTTCTCTTCCTCTTCTCTAAAGCAGCACAGCATGGCCCCGCCCCCTTTGCTGCCTTTTCCCGAGGGCGGGGTTTATCTGGGTTTATGATGTCACAAACCCGGGAAGTAACTTGTTGTAGTCCCTACCAGCCGTTTTTGTAGGCATTAAACTGCCAGAATTTTAAAAGACGATATCTCCGTTTGCATTGAACTTTCAGCTTCGTAACTTTGCAGATATTGTTTATGCTCAAACAGCAACATTACACACTAACTAACATTAAAAAATTTGAAATCGTGAATGAACCACCCCTTTAAGGACTGGGAAACAGTCTGACACAGCAGCTCAACACCTGTTGGTTTGGTGCGTTTAGCTCTTGTTACACAACGAATGAGAATCCGGCCCGCGTGAGCAGCTTTGATTCTGGTCATTAGGCCGCACACACATTCTCGCTTGCTTTCATTTCCTCTCATCCTCCACACAGATCACACAGACTCTCACACACACACACACACACACACCTGTGAATATTTGCACGCTGAAGTCCCACACCCATGCGTCATTAAAACAGATGAGGAAGGTGAGGAAGGGCACAAGCGATTGCACTCCCGAAGAAACGGCGCCAAATTCCTCAAGACACATTCTCAGATGAGGTTTCACTTCATATAACAGAGATGGTTGAGGGATCAAATCGTGCGGCTTGTTGAGGAGAGGTGCACTGCTATTTTCTACATCATTTTTCTAAGTCTGATCTAACAGAGCAGATTTACGCCAACGCTTTAGTCACTGTTCGAATTCCAAAGCTTCTGTGTCTTTATCTGAAATGCACATTTTTTAATACTTGAAAACACTCAAAAAATGCAAAGACTCATTATATCATTAAAAATGGCAGTCTGCTTTTACTTGTTAAATTCTTGAAAGAAAATATTTCAAAAGCTGTTCTTTTTATAGTATTGTAAATAATGTATAATTTGTTTTTAATAGCTTTTAGTTAACATTGTAAAAGCTGTTTTTAACAGTAGTTAATCTGTATTCATTTAATTCATCCATTATAATTGCACTATTTTAGAAGCTGTTATTTTAATAAAATAGTTAATTATGTATTATTGGTATAAATTTAATAAATGTTAATTAAAAGTTTAAAGCTGTTTTAAATAATATTGTTAATCGTGAATAATTTGTATTTAATACATTTTAATTAAAGAGTTTAAAAGCTGTTTTAATAATAATCATGTTAATTATGAATAATTTGTATTCATTTAATTCATTTTAATTACAATATTTAAAAGCTGTTATTTTAATAATATTGCTGTATTCATTTAATACATTTTCATTAAAATAGTTTAAAAGTTGTTTTAGATAATATTGTTAATCGTGTATAATTTGTATTTATTTAATACACTTTAATTAAAAGTTTAAAAGCCGTTTTAATAATATTGTTAATTGTGTATAATTTGCATCAGCATAACACATTTTAATTAAAATATTAAGTTCATGAAAAGAAATAATTTATTCAAAATCACATTTATGTATTTGTTTGTCAATTGATTCGAGTTTAATTAATTTTAAGTGGGTTTTGATGTTGTTTGTAGGAAGAGAGTGTGTGTGTGTGTGTACTGTAATGGTTTATAAGGACACAAATGTGTATAATGACATGGGTACTACAACGTAAACATGGTTTATGAGGACACTTCCTGTGTCTCCGTAAAACAAAAGGCTTAAAAAAAAAATACAAAACGGTGTTTTATGAAATTCAAAAATTGCCAGTAATTTTCTGTAAGGGGTAGGTTTAGGTGTAGGGCGATAGAAAATA